TCATATTTTAAAGAAGTAAACATAATGGGGAGGGTATAGCTCAGTGGTAGAGCACATGTTTAGCATGTACAAGGTCCTGGGTTCAATTCCCAGTACTTCCACTTCAAAAAAAAAAAAAAAAAAGAAAGAAAAGAAAGAAAAAGTAAATATATCTGCAACACGAGAAGCCTGAAGCTAAGATGTTTATCATTTGCTTTCCAAATCATCCAGTGCTACTGTCAGCCAGAGGGTAAAAGATAGGGGTTGAGGGAGTGTGAGGGGAAAAAACTCCTTTTAAAATAGAATAACCAGTATTTACTAGACTCATTTCAAAGAACATTTATATGCTTTGGCTCAAATAAGGCAAATAGTAGCCCACTGTTGAGGGTTCATAGAGTTTAAGACAGTTTCAATAAATGGTAGCTGTTTTTAATTATGGATTATACAGAACCTCCCAATAAATGTCATTAATATACAAGTAGTAAGAAGCAGCCAGAGAGTAAGAGGTAAATCGGAAGCAACTTCACAAAGGGCACTACACTGAAGAAAAACTATTGCCAAATGGGCATTTCTCCAGTTGGAAGACTGTAGCGAGAGCAGATTACAAATGATTTTTTATGCTCAGCATATTTTATTTATGTACAAGGGCCTTGAAACTGTTAGGATTTGGGGTTTATAAATGACTTCAAGTTTCACACCAAGAGAACTTCCCACCATAAACTGATATTCCCAGCTGTTCAAAGACAGTTGACAGGCTCAAATGAACTGAAGAAAAGGAAATGAAGCCAGATAACAAGGAGACAAGGCTCCCACTACGGCAAACAGAAGGGCCATCTGTGGCGAATCGTGGTGGCTGTGCCACTCCCAGAACATGCCAAGTGCACTGTCACTCTCAGCTCTACCTGGCTTCCTTCCAGGGAGCAACTATGGTGGAGCCATTGCACACAGCAGACTGCAGTAGGGACCAGCCTTTCCAATCTGCTGTGCCCTACACCACACACAGTCCCACAAGAAGCCCTTTTCCGACCAGTTGAGCTCAGATTTCCTGAAGTATCTCAATGTTCCCTGCTTAGAACAACATGCATAATTATGTGAAGAAATCTTCTGCGAAAGTTTCCCTAAACTTTAGGCATGAAAAAAATAACAGGAGAGGAAACATTAAGCTAGAAGAGACTTCAGCAGCGTATTCACTCTCCCTGCTTCCAAAGAGGATCAGACTAGCAGAAGACAACTCATTTATAATTCAGAAAATGTCATTAGACATCACATATAGTAAAGTTCTATGCTGGGTGTTAGGGAGAACACATGAATAAATCAGAGTCTCTGCCTGGAGGATAAAATACTGGACAGACTTGAAAGGCCTAGATTCTAATCCTAAATTAGCCTCTGATTCAGCTTATGCCCTCATGATGTGTCTCCATTTTCTAACAGAAAAGTGCCTACATATTAAAATTTAACTAGTATCATTACTAGTCATTGACCTTTATGTTTTTAAGAACCTAAAACTTCTGGAAGGTTCTTCTGAGGCAAGAATGGAGAAAGCATGGGCCTTAAGAGTTAGAAAGATTTGTTTCAAATTCTACCTCTGCCACTTCACTACCTGTGTGACCTTGGAGAACACGGAGAGCCTCTGTTTTCTCACTTGTAAAATGAAGAGAACCCTTCAAAGTGCTGTGTGTGTGTGTGTGTGTGTGTGTGTACCTACTTACCTATCTACAGACAACTAGGCACTTAATATTCACTCAGTAGGTGGCAACTGCTATTATTTTTATTAACACCACTAATAATGTCTTTATTGTCCACACCCTGAAAGCCATGGGTAACACAGTCTGACCACAGGAGAGTTAACATGAATGATTCGAAGTGAAGAATACAAATAAAATTTAATAAGGCCAGGTCTAGAACCAGCGATGGATGAAACATCAGAGCCCACGTGAACCAATGGTGGCTGGGCATACGGGGCTACCCTGCCTAGTTCGCTGTCACAAACCCAGATCCGTCCTATTCCACTCAGTCCTCTGACTCAGAGCCCAGGCTTGCCTGAAGCTCTGCACGTGCACATTCACCTGCATTTTGGACACTTTCAAATAAGCCTTATTAGAAATATATACGATCAGCATGAAGAAAACAGCAAAATACCAGCAAGGGTCTAAGACACAAAAACTTGAACATGTGATATTACTGAACATGGTATGTTATTACACTTTTGGATAGAAAAACTCAACACAGACAACAACCCTCCCTAGGGCAACCTATACACTTAATGAAATTTCAAGAAAAAGACTGATTGGATTTTTTTGCCCAAAAAACTAAGAGCCAATTGCCAAGTTTATCTGAAATAATAAGCCAGCAAGAATAGTCATGAAAACTCTGAAAAAGAATAACAAGGTGAGGTGTGGGGCTAGACCTATTAGATATTAAAATATACTCTTAAGCCACACTATGTTACTGAAGGCTGAATGGAAAGACCAATGGATCAGAAAAGAAAGTCCAGAAATAGACCAAACAAATATAGGAATTTAGAGCATGAAAAAGATGGCATTTCAGAGGGAGACAGATTACACAAATATAGCGGGACAATCAAGTAACTGTATCTCACATTTCATAAACAAAACATACACACATACAGAAAGAAACAAGCAAATTCTAGATAGAGCAAAGATTCAAAAGGTAAAAAATTTTAAATATTTTCATAAACTCAGAGTAAGGATGTTTTGTATAAACTTCATACTAAACGAAGTCATTTAATAAGTAAAACAAAAAAAATTTACATCAAGAAATAATTTTATATCTATTAGATTGGCACATATAACAAAAAAGAAAAGTCACACTGGAGGAGAAAGTACAGAGGAACAGGTACTGGTCCATGCTTAGGGTGGGAGTGCAGCCCTGGTGCATCTCTGTGGCCTTGTGAGGGACAATTTGGCAACATCTATCAAAATTACAAACATATTCTTCAAACCACAGATTCTGCTCCAGAGCTCTTTTTTATTATACAGATACTTGTATGAGTATATATGCAAGTTCGATGTTCTGTGTACACAGGATAATTTATGCACCTTGTTTCTAATAGGAAAAAAAGAAAAAGGAAAACCCCTAAACATTCATCAATAAAGAAGTGGCATAACACATTAGAGTATCTCCATACAATGAAATACTACACAGCTATTAAAAAAGGACGAGGGCCCCTTCCTTTGTACTGATTTGTAAAGATCTCTAAAATAATTAAGTTTTACAAATCAAGGTACACATCAATATGCATGATATTTCTCATTTTTATAAAATCAGGAAATACATATCTCATTGATCACTTATGTGTGAACTGTCTGGAAGGACGAGTAAGACAGTGTTAGCATTGGTTGCCTCTGGAGAGGGAAACAAGGATGAGGGTTAACAGAGGAGGGGAGACTTATATTTTACTGCATATCTCTTTGTATCATGTGAATGTATTAATCTATTCCAAAAGTAATTTTAAACAATTTAATTACTAAAAAAAGTACAGATTGTCCTTAGGGAAAAAATGTGATAGAACTTAGAGAAAAAATTTTGTCCAAAACCCATCACTCCTTTCCTCAACCACTCAAGGATCTAAAATTTCTGTAGCATCTGCCTTGCTCCCTCAAGAATCAGAACATTTCTCCAGTAATACTGACCTAAAAGAGATGCCTAAGTTTCAGAAAATTTACATGTTATCATTTGTATCACAGCTGAAACTAAAGAACTGGCCTAGAAGCTAAAACGAATGAACTGGATAGAGGGCTGGACATCTTAATGAAAGCTGGAAAGCCCTTTACATATGATCTTTTTTCTGCCTTTGCAATAGGGTAGCTAATAGAAGGAAGATTAAAAACAGAAAAGTTCAGAATGTCTTACTCAAGTAACAACTTCTAGCATTCTCTATTCACACTGTACACACGTTCCTTACTGGGTACAAATTCATGCACAGCACAAGCTGTACCCAAAACAAGAAGTCCACAGCATGCAGGACACCATCCCATAATGAAGCCCAAAAGTCTAACTGGCTACGCTATGGCCAACCAGTGCTTTTTCATTTCTGGAGTTAGTAGCTGCATCATGCAAGCTGGGAAACAGTGATAAAGAAATAGCATCATTTGCAGGTGGTGAAAAACCTCAAAGGCTAGGAAACGTTTTTTGAAGGTCAGGTTCAAAGAAGCCATCATTAGATAAACACTTTTTTGGGGGTGGTGGGGAAGGGGAGGCTGACATTTATAAATCTTGAAGGAATCATCTCAATCTCATTTCAAGTAGACTGATCAGAGCCAAAAAGGGCAAAATTATGAGGAATCCTACATTGCAAGTTTTACAGGCTGTTTTATGGACACAGGCTATGCCCAAACTCTAACCCATATGCAACTGTGGGCCAAAGCTGTAAGCAACAAACTGGTAAAAGACATAGCTGCACTGCTGAGGGATCATTTCCCAGTACTAGAAACACACACAAAGTCTGCTTACCACTCTGGCTGGAGGCTACCATTTCCTCATAAGGGGCCTTCTATTTCCATTTAATCCAAAGGCAACTTGGATACTTAGTCCCACCAACACAAGCTACAAATGTATACATACACTGGGCAAAAAAAATAGCATGCACACGGTTGGACGTGAAATGTCTTCTTTCCTCCTATTAATTCTTATACAAAATAATGACTACATTTTGGCTGTAAACTTTACACATAGGAGGCACACTTAAAAGTAACTATTTTCGTGGATGGTCATAGGCTTTCTGCTAAACAATTTCTTGTTTGAAATTCAACTTCCCCTGAAAGTCAAGGTTCAGTGCTGGGTAAAAAGGCATGCAACCAAGTCACCAGCCTCCCAAACTGGACACAAGGCATGCCTTGGCTGCAGGAAACACATAATTAGCAGTTACGGTTTTCATGCCAACAAACCAACAGTTAACAAGGATGATTAGAGTTTGGATGGAACCAAAGCACAAGCTCTTTGCCTTTTTGATGCTGACCAAAAGCCACAAGCACACACATTTCCGCATGGCAGGTTCATACCACTGGACTTGAGTTGCTTGGATCTCTCTCGCTCCTGGACTGTAGACTTTGGCAAAAGTGGAGTAAGACCTCGAGACTTGGTGGGTCTCATGTAGCCTTTCATCGGTTCTGCCATTCTGCCTTTATCTTCCTTCTTCCCTTCTCCCGGTGCCTTTGGTTCAGATTTTTCTGTCATTTTCTCAGGCGCCTCCAAGGTCTTATCTTTAGGTTCTGGCACTTGAGGAGACTTGGAAGCAGTCACTACTAACTTATCTACCACCCTGGAAGGAGTTGCTTCAACTCTGCCACTGAAGACATTAGACTGTAGTTCTGGTGGTGCCAAGGAAACAGATTCTAATTCTGTGATTTCAGAAGCCAGACTGATTTCTTCCAATTTAGCTTTTTCACTTTTTGGAGGCCCACCTACCTCCATAATCAAACTATCTGGGCCCTTGGACTCTCTCTCTCTAGCATTTTGGTCCTCACGGAAAGGGGGCTTTTGTGTTTTGTCTCCCAGTAAGTTAGGAATTGGAACTGCAGCAGAACCTTCCTCAGATTCTTTCCTTTTATTTACTGGACATGTTGGGAAATTACTCCTATCTGCACGTGCTTGTGGGACCCTGACTTCACCTGCCAGGCTCTGGTCTCCTACTGGCACTCCAGGAGGAAGGCGCCCCTCTGCCGGCTCTGTGATTTTCTCTGCTGAGTGCTGAGACGCAGCACTGGGCACCACAGACTCAGATTCTCCCCTTACATGCCCTCTATCTACCCCTGCTGCATCTGCCATTGGGTCAGCAAGCTCTCCTTTGTTCTTAAGACAATTACCTCCGTGACTGTTAACTGTTTCTTCGGCTGCTGTAGAAGTTGGGGCAACCCCTCCCGTGCTTATAGAGGGTGTAACAGCAGAGGGAGCCTTGGGCCTTTCTTCATCTGCAGCTCCATCTTTGCTCCAATTATCTACCACTACAACTGTGGAAATCTGGGCTGGAGCTGTCTCTTGGCTACTTTCTGCCAAGGTGTCTGGAAGTGAATCACTTTCCTTTACTACTTGAGGAGGAGTGGGAAGTTTTCCACAGGCTGCTGATTCCTGAGCCTCTAGAGGGACTGACTTATTCATCAACCCTGCTGGTGTTCTGGGGCAGGTGAATGTGATATTTCTATTTTCATCCACATAGCTCATTCCCTCAATTCTGTGGTCCCCTATGGTTTCCATGGGAACAAGTATTTTTGTTGCATCTCTCTTATTCTCCAGAACGTGTTCCTCGGGGAAACTATTTTTAACCTGTTTGCTTATTCCATCATTACTCCTCGCATTTGGTTTGTCAGCCACTGCAGTGTGTCCCTTCGCTGCATCTATCTTATTCTCCTCAGACAGTACTGAAAGAACAAGTCCTGCTCCCTGGATTTGGTCTTGGCAGCTCAAATCTGTCACCTTGGTAGTTGGTTCAGTAATAGCAGAATTCTTGATTGTATTTGTTTTGTTCCCGCCAAGAGCCCCAAGCTCAAAAGGATCAGCCTTAGTCTTTCCACCCTTTCGGTCAACAACCTCCCCAGCCGGTGCACCTGATGTACCTGAGAACAAAGGGTCAGGACTGATGGGGAGAGGGAATTCTGCCTGCCTGTTCTGATGGTGAGTGCTAGCGACCCCTCCATCCTTCCCTACAAAAGGTGGGGTGAGGAGTTCTTCCTTCCTCTCCATTCTAGTGGACTGTGTGGAATAATTATTTTTAAACTTTTTATTTCTGCCGTCACTGCTTCGTTTTTTAGGCTTTTCAGAAATCCAGGGAGCTGCCTCATGATCCATCCAAGGACACTTTTCCTGCTCGCTCTGGTTGCCGATACCCCTACCTGTGGCCATGGCTCCCCTTTCTGTCCTAACAACAGAAGTCTGAATCACATCTGACCCATGTCCCCAGAGAGTCAACGGCTGCAAAGGGCCTGCCACCCTCAGGTCAGTCATCTCCTTAGGCTCCCCCGCCACCACCCCCTCAGTGAGATCAGCCAGGGTCCCTGGTTGCTTTGGGAAATCCGGCCCTAGCTCCTCACTTTTATCCTCAGCCGTCATTCTTTCAGCTTTAGGGGCTGGCTCCTCTGGCACAAGAACAGCCCCACTGTCCTTCTGGCTGTCTGGATGGAACGGCAGCTCAGACCTCGCTCTCTCCTTTCCAGAACTTGCTCTCACTTTTGTAGAACTTCCCCTTCCCTTCCTGCTTTTAACATCACCTGCCATTCTCTTTAGTGGTTCATTCCCTAGCCCTGGACCCTGAACTAACACCTTGTCCTGCAGCTGCTCGGAAGCAAAGATGCTGTTCTCGTGTCTTTGCTTGGGAATAGCTTCCTTTTTTAGTTCTTTAACCTGTTCACCTCCTTCAGAAAACTCTTTCTGTTTGTCATTGTGCTGTTTAGTCATTTCATTTTCATCATTTACTTCTTTTAGACTGCTTTCTAATGGATTATCTGTAGTCAAAGTGGGTATCAAATTAGGCAGTTCTTTTGCTTCTGTGGATTTTGAGACTCCACCCATAGGCTTTTGGTCCAAGAGAGGAAAACAACCCTCTTTGGGTCTGATCTCCAAAGGAATTTCTACATTGTATGCAGAAACCTCCGTCAGAGGTCCTTTCAGATTGCGGGGACCTACTGCCTGGCTTTTACCCACAGGAGTCTGGAGGGGCGGTGCAGGCTGTGGTCTGCACTCATCTTGGCTCTGTAGGATTGACTTGTTATCTTTGACCTCTGCCGCCACGCTCAGTCTGGGCTGAGAATTCCCTGCAGTTTTCAGGAGTTCTTGCAAAGGACATGAAGGAGTGCTGATGCTCTCTGAGGACAAGTTCTCAGCTGCCAGTTTGGCTGGTTTGGAGTCAATGTCACATTCCTTTTTCAAGTTTTCTCTGGACACCAGTCCATGTTCTGTGCCCACCATGGTAGGCTGGCTGGGAAGAACACCTGATTTTTGTGGGTCAGTGGCAAAGGGATGACCTTTAGGCATGCCTGCATTATCATCATCCCAAGGACCCCCATCCCGGGGCTGAGAATATCTCTTCTGCTTTGGTTTCTTCTTTTTTTTCTTCATCATCATTGGTGTGCTTTCATATATATCCCAGGCCTCCCTGCCAAGATCCCTCTGGGGTTCAAGGAAGCCACCGTGAATAGTTTTCCTCTGGTTCCCAGGCTCACTACAGGAAGATGAACCAGAAACCCAACCCAACTCAGACAAAGGGCAGAGGCCCAGCCCAGGATCAAGAGTCTTCCGTGGAGAAGAGCCTCCCAGCAGCTCAGGAGGGACCCTGGCAGGCCTGGGCCGAGTGGACCTGCGGTCACTGGGTCTGCACGCTTGTTTGGCTTGTGTGGGAGGGGTACCTGCAATACATGAAGCTGGCTAAAATTCCAAACAGAAAACTCCTTGTTATTGTTTCTTTAAAAAAAAAATCCATTTAGTGACTCATTTAAGTAGTCTATTTTCACCAACCCACATACTGATTCATTTAGGAAAACATTTTTTCTGAAACATTTCTCACTCTTAACTGGGAATAGCAACTATTTAACAAAGATCCTCATCTCAGGTAAAGAAGTTTCACTAAACATATTTACAAAATATTTGAAACTTGAGAAAAGAAATTCAAACAGAGATCTTCTAATCTGTATAATAAGCACTTCCTGCCTATAAATCTCATTTGATACTTATTTATATTTGCTTTTATTTTAAATAGCTATGTAATTCCCAAGAGAATAACAACATGGTAAGCTCTTATCTCTTTTTGGGGACACTGATTAGTTAATTGAATTTAATATTATGATTTTACTATTCTAAGAAATTACAATTCTAAGGATCTGTCACCAATATTACACTATTACTTGTTAAACTAACCAGATCCATTTTGGGAAGCAGACCAGAAGGACAAAATTATGCTACTTAAAAAAAGAAAGAAAAAAAGGAAGAAAGAAAAGAAAAAGAAAAAAACTGAATTAATATTCTGACCAACCAGAAATTCACATTCTAGAACCAGAGCCTCCTACTTTGAAAGACAAATGTGTTAGATTTCAATGTTCTGTTGTTAAAAGTACTTCCCAAAAGACAAAGATACATACATAATGCCAAGTAGGGTAATTAATTAAAACAATTAAACAATGAATAAAACTCTTGGACAAGTTTCAGGAAGTCAACTGGTCCAACCTCCTGCCTTTAAGTCAATGCAGTATGGATCTAAGATCCTGGAAAAAGAGTCTCATTCAGAGCAGGTCTAGGACACTTCTTGTCAAGTCTGACCCAATAAATGACTTCAAAGAATACTAAAATATATAAATGTGACTTTTGTTCTTGTCTTTACCCCTCCAATGTCCTCCAAATCCTACTCTTCATTGAACATCTCAGGCCAATGTTTGCTTCTCTCAAAGAATAGTTGGGCTTTAACAACTCACAGCATGTATAACATTTATTTTGGCAATTAATCAGCAGCTATTCAATGCCATTTCTTATACTATTTAATTCAATTATTAGAGAAATCTTTGGTTTCAGAGTTTATGCCTGGGAATATCTCTCACTATCCAGGCTGTAATATGATAACATAAGGGCTAGGACCCAGGTTAAATATCTGTGCTCATCATAGTATATTTTATACACAATAAGGACTTGATATATCTTTATTGATGTGTTGATTCACTACAACAACATTTTAAAACATCCTGTATTTATTTAGCTCCTATGTGGTGCTAGACAATATGCAAAGTGCTAGAGATTTGAAGTTAAGTGTCTTGGTTCCTGTCCTCAGGTTCACATTCTGATCAAAGTCATAGAAAAGTAAGCAGAGAATCACTAAGTTGTTACTCATATGCCCATGTTTCTGGCTTACCATCAAAAATGTGGAAAGTTCACTGATTCACTGGACTTTCAAGTTAGAAAATATCAGGGCAGTTTAATGTATATGAAAATTTTCTGGGGAACTTGTTAAAATGCGTATCTTGGTGGAAGGCCTGAGGTGGAGCCCAAGGTCCTGCCTTTCTAATGAGCTCCCAGGCAATGCAGATGTTGTAGGGCCATGGAACTCACTATAAGCAGTAGTTACAGAACATTTGACCAATGCATTCACCTCACAGCTGAATAAACAGATACAGGAGGGTTAAATAACCTGCCTCAGACCACACAGGATAGAAGAGTGACAAGGTGAGCTGGATTAGATTTCCTAGGTTGGTATAGTGATGATTTTTAAATATGTAACAAGCTGACTCTCTGCCTAAACAAGACAAAATCTGTCTAAGGAAAGGGGCCAACTTCACAAACAATCCTGCAGACGACCACCTTATAACCAGGATCAGTGGATTCTACCATTACCCCATCTCTTCCAGGTTAAGTGGCTTCAAAGACTCCACTTGTTTTTGTAACTTACCTGAGGTCTCTGAAGAAAGTTCAGAAGGTGGACTACTCAACAGTTTCTTTTGCTCTAGTTTCTCGAACATAGAATCCTCACCTGCTGGCAAGCTGTACTTTTGGCCCGTGGCTGTGGCTGGTTCTAAAGGTAACAGTAAAAACCACACAGGTTTCAGAGAGGCACTACTTCAGCTATTTTTCCACCTTCTAGAAATTAGAAATGAGAATAGTTTTGGAAGAATGAGGGATGCACCTATGAGCGCTTTTGAGAAATAAGAGTGCTGGTTGGTAGAGGAAGGGAAGAAGGGTTGAGAGGGTTTTTTTTTTTAACGACAGAAAAAAACCCCAAACGTTTTGTATGTTGCTGGAAATGATCCAATGGAAAGGGGAAAAATCGGTGAGAAGTAGGAAAAGACAGAATGGCTAGGGCAGTACGCTTCAGTAGGCCAGACAGACTGGATCTAGTGCAGACAAAATGCCGCCCTTAATGACTAGGAGCAGGGACAGTCTACACTTAGCAACAGGAGAGAGGCAGAGTGGATGGATCCAGATACAAGGAGCTAGCTAGACGAGGAAGAGGAAGTTTGTGAATGTTCTCTTTTATTGCTTTGATTATCTATGAGAAAAACAGGAAGATAAGTAGAGAACAAGGATGGAGGGGCTGGAGGCTGGAGGAAGGTGAAGGTAAGAAAGAATTGTCAAGGAGAGTAGGAATGAGACCTTCAAACTACTAGTGTGACTCTCATTTTACCTGGCATGATGTTTGTCCCTTACCCTCTGGAGACTACACCTTGGTAGACAGAAATACTGCAAGTAAGTTCCAGCCCATACCTGGTGAAATCATGAGAGTAGGTGCAGCTGACTGTCCCTCGACCTGGAGAGATTCCAGCTGGGAATCCTCACTTGTTTCTTCCTGTGCTTGTGCAATTTCCAAGTCCTTGACTGGAACCGGTGCCGCCTCTGCTTCTGAGGATGCTGCAACATTCTTGGTTGGAGCCACATTGCTGGCCAGGGTCACTTCTGCTCCAGGGGGCAGAGCAACATCCTCAGCCAGGGTTACCTCCGTTTCTGGAGGTGAAACCACATCCTTGCCCAGGGCCATTTCTGTTTCTGGGGACAGAGCCACATTCTTGCCTGGGGCCATCTCTGTTTCCAGAGGTGAAACCACGTCCTTGCCCAGGGCCTTTTCTGTTTCTGAGGGCAGAGCCACATCCTTGCCCAGGGCCATCTCTGTTTCTGGAGGTGAAACCATGTCCTTGACTGGGGCCACCTCTGTTTCAGGTGGAGCTACATCCTTGCCCAGGGACATCTTGATTTCTGGGGGTGGAGTCATGTCCTTGACTAGGGTGACTTCTGTTTCTGGAGTTGGAGTCACATCCTTGACTGGGGCCACTTCTGTTTCTGTAGGTAGTGCCATGTCCCCAGTCAGGGTCACTTCTGTTTCTGAGGACAAGGCTACCTCCTTGGCTGAGGCTATTTCTGTGGATGACACAACATCCTTAGCCAGGGCTACCCCTATTTCTGAGAGTGATGCTACATCCTTGGCTGAGGTCATCTCTCTGTCTGTGGGTGGTGCCACACCATCAGCTGGGGCCAAATCCATTTTTACAGGTGGTGTCCTCTCTGTTTCTTTGATCAGTGTTATGTCCTTGGCTGGGGCTACCTCTGTTTCTGTGGGCAATACAACATCCTTAACCAGGGCTTCCTCCATTCCCATGTCCTTGACTAGGGCTGTATCTGATTTGGTTGGTGGTTCCATGTCTTTAGTCAATGCCACCTCTGTTTCTGAGGCTGGGGCCACGTCCTTGGCTGGGACTATCTCTGATTCTCTAGATGGTGCCACGTCAGAAGCGTTCAGTCCCATTATTACTTCCAATGCTTTTGTTGGTGTTCTCTCTTCTGCTGATGTCATTTCTATATCAGCTGGCTCTAAGGAAAGTAAGTTGAAAGTTTAGGATCCATCACTGTCTGTTCATAGCTCTTCATTCAAAACTCACTTGCTTAAGACACAAGAGTGTGTGGCTTTTGTGATCATAATACTGTAAATTTAACTAAGAAGTCGTCCAGTTAATGCATTTGTGCCTACTCTTTGACAGTCTCAATACTTAGCAGAATAAATTGATGGCAGAACAAACAGTAAAGAAGGAAAGGCATAGGAGAGGGAAAAAAACCCATGAGTCTAAAAAACAAACAACTCAGGTACACAATTAGTGTCAGAAAGGGAATCTGTGGGAGATCAAGAAAACTCCCCAGAGTTCTAAATTTGCACTAATTACAAAGGGATTATTTTTGCCCATTAACCCCAAGTGTTGTACTTCAACTACAATTTAATTCCTTCAGTTGTGAGATCAGTAATTTAAGTTTAAAAACATTTGTGATAGTTGGAAATTTTTATCTATACTGCTGTACATAGCTAAAAAATGTCTGATGATTTATACTGATGATTGAACCTGTAACTATTAAGTGATAAGGAGGGATTCGAATAATTTACCTGCTGTGGGCTGCAGAGGTTGTGTAATGGCCTCCAGGGAAATGAGGGACTCCAAGTGTGGAGGATTCGGAGCTTCCACAGACCAGCCCTGAGGGGCAACAGCTGCAGGAGCAAACGTGTCGCAGGGAAACAGACCTAATATTAAAACACATTTTTGAAACTCAGTCAACCCTGGAGGAAAAGGACATACAATATTTCAAATCAGCTTTATATATTGCCATAAAGACACAGGCCAAAAGGACCAATGAGAAACAAAGCAAGAAAGTTTCACAGTAAAAAAACCACTGACATTCTTAGGTCTGGGCTAACTGTCAGGCTGTCATGCCATTAGTCAACACTGACTGGCCACCTTCTATAAGGTTTTACAAAGATTCAAAATACAAAAGGATGAGCTCTAGCTCTAAGATCACAACCTACAGAACCTAATGTATAGTAAGGGATTGTGAGTCTTCATTTCCTCATTTGTACCATGAGATTACCACCTCCCTTCCAACATTAGAATACAATTTTGTGAAAATGGTTTGTGTATTATTAAGAACTAGACAAATGTAAAAAAGTATTATTATTATGCTGTCATCTGCCAGGCATAATATCATATGAGATTTAATATCACATGGTCCTTGCCATCAAGATTATTACAACCTTGGGGGTGGGAAGGGACAGACCGGGATTTCAAAATGTAGAACATATAAACAAGAGTATACTATATAGCACAGGGAGATATATACAAGGTCTTGAGGTAGCTCACAGCAAAAAAAATGGGACAATGAATATATGTACGTTCATGTAAAACTGAAAAATTGTGCTCTACACTGGAATTTGACACAACATTGTAAAATGACTATAACTCAATAAAAAATGTTAAAAAAAGAAAAGAAAAGAAAAGAAAAAAATAGATTATTACAACCTAGCTAGAGAAACAAGACAGACATATATCAAATAATGCAAACTGTACAGTATGGACTAAATGCTACAAGAGGTCAAAAACACAACAAGTTTATACTGTATAGCACAGCAAACTATATTCAATATCTTGTAGCAACCTTTAATGGAAAATATGAAAATGGATATATGTATGTATATGTATGACTGAAACATTATGCTGTACACCAGAAATTGACCAACACTGTAAACTGACTATACTACAATTAAAAAAAAAAGAACTACCAAGAAAAAGAAGTTTAAAAACCACCATGAGGAAAAGAATAGTTACAGAAGGTTCAGAGGAGAAGTGAGAGCAGGAAGAGAGAAGAAAGTAGTCACTTTCAAGGATGGAGACTATTGAGCAAAGAAAAGTATGAAGATACCAACAGAACAAGAACGTTTCTGGGACTATGAGATCAAACAGATCCTGTATACTAGAGAGGGAACAGGATTAGAACAAACAATAGAAGAAAGATCTGGAAAGCCAGAGAAAAATGGACTTGAAGGGAGAAAAAATTAGGCTGTCTTACGGTCTTCATCATGAAAATGAGAAAATGAATGCAGAAAAAGGATCACCTTAGGGTGATCAGTACAGTACATATGTTTGGAATTAATTTTAAAAGGGAGTAGGAAGTCTGTTAGGAGACAACGAAAGTGGTCTAGGTATGAAGTGATAGGGGTTTGCACTGGGGTAAAGCAGAGGGAGCATAAAGGAAGAGAAAAAAGATGCTGTAAAGAATGAAATCAATGCAACTAAATGACTGACTAGCTAGTGAGCTGAAAAAACAGGCGTCAAAGCCAAAATTCAAAATATGAGGAGACTAGGTGGATACCATCAAAGTCAACTCACTTAACATCCTTCTCCAAAGAGAACTTTAGTCCAAAGAAAAGCATAAATGAAACATATTATTAGCCAGGATCTTTACAAATACAAAATCATAAGCATTATTTGAAGCGAGACTTACTGATGATGTGTACTGAAGGAAAGCAGACTACGTCACCCCAAAATACATTTCTTTGACATAAAAATTTCGAGCTGAAGGCAATTAAACGAACAGCAAACCCAGAAAAAGCTTCCCCTCTTTTCTGCCTAAAGGCAGGATATAAATTTCCCTTTATTGGAGGGAGACTCTTATCAGGCCAGAGAGGGCGCCAGAGGAATCTGCAAACAAATCTGACTCCAGCAGTTTCCTTCCATACATTTACCTTCCCACAGTATGATTCTTGGAAGTATAAAATTGCTTTCCTCTGTCCTGTCATTTTTCTACAAATTTATTAGTCTTTGTTGAGGATATTATATAAACCGAATTTCTAAGCTACCACTTTGACTTACTTTCCTCCCATGTGACGTATGCCGCACTTGTTAATAAACTATTTGTTTTTTTCCCCTTATTAATCGGTCTTTTTATTAGAGTCTCAACTGAAAACCTAAGAAGGCAGAGGTAAAGTTTTGCCTGCCAGACAGCATCTTGGCCATGTTCATGTTAAAACTTATACAAAACCCGGAATGAGGATACTACTAGTTGATAACTAAGATCTGTTAAATGTTTACTATGTACCAGACACTACGTGCTTTTACATAATTTTATTTAATCATCACCACATCTTTAAGGTAAGAACCAGTGTTGGCCCCATTTGATAGATAAGGAAACCAAAGTTTAGGGAGGACATAACTTGACCAAGGCCATGAGCTAGTAAAATGTAGACAGAGAATCTGGCCTAGGATATAGGATTCAAGATCCCATAAGAGGAGGTGAGCAGACCCCGAGCAGCCCAATTGTGAATTCTCTCCTGTGATTAATCTAGGAAGAGCCTTATCAGAGCCAGAGACCCTAAACATGGTTTTGCCTAGTGGTTAACTTCAAAGGTGATAGGTGAAAGGCAATATTAATTGTTCGGAGTTAAGAAATAAATCCAGCTGGAGAAGTCATACCATAACTGTCTTTCAGGGGATCATTTTGTTCTGTAAATGATGAAGTACTGGTTGTTCCACTGGGGAGAAAGAGCAAATCTTCCAGGCCATCATCATGGTGCATCTTAAAGGGATCTGGAATAAGGAAGGAATTTAACTAAGAAGATTAGCACTCCTTATTATCTTATGATGAATAATGATGAGTTACATGTGTGTTGTCAACAGTAAGTTAAATAAGTTGAGATAACGTGTGGCTGAACATGGTAAGAAACCAAACAGTCATTAATTCATTTGTTACAAGTTAAAAATGAGTAATCTCACATCCTGTAAGATTTGATTATCCAACAAAAACTAAAAGCACAACTAATGCTCAAGTCTATAATGCTTAACCACATGGCTGTTGACTGGAGGCCTCTGTTCCTCCCCCATGTGTGCCTTTCCACAGTAGCTGGGTGAGTAAACCCACTGTGGTCAACATGGAGACTGCAATGTCTTTTGTAACCTAATCCTAGAAATGGCATACCATTATTTCTGTCATCTATTCTATTGGTCACACAGACCAAGCCTGGTATAACATGGGAGGCAACTACAGAAGGGTGTGAATACCAGGAGGTGGTGATCACTGGAACCATCTTGGAGGTTGGCTACCATGCCTGACTTTCAGGACATTATACTCATCTGGGTTTTCTCCAACCCAAACTGGTCATTCCTGTGACATTACCCTTGCTGGTTCCTCTTCTTCCTGCCTTGAATTAGTAATTAAATACTACTCACAAAGAAAAGCCCTGGCCGAGACGGCATTACTGATAAATTCTACCAAACATTTAAAGAATGAAAACCAATACTTCATAAATACTTCCAAAATAGATTCCATTTATATGAAATTTCCAGAATAGATAAATTTATGGAGACAGAAAGTAGATTAGTGGTTGCTTAGGGGAGAGGCAGATAAGGAGACAGGTGGTGATATACCTAAACAGTACTGGGTTTCTTTTTGAGGTGATACAAATATTCTAAAATAGACTCTGGTGATGGCTATATATACATGTAAATACACTAAAATCCACTAAATTGTACACTTTACACTTGCAATGGGTGAACTGTATGATATGTGGATTATATTTCAAAAAAGCTGTTTTTAAAAAATTACGTATGTCTAGGATAGCCAATAACTGGAGAATGGTACAAAGCATCAAGTATTAGATCATTTGGAACCAGTTATGAGCACCTTATAAATTAGATGGCAAAAAAGAAGCCATACACAACTGGAAACAAATACCCTGGGCTCTCAACTAGGTTACCTCTGACATGGAGGTATCAATGCTACTACTGCTTTGAGGTCCTTCTGCAATCTAGCCATCCCACCACTTCCAGCTCTAGGCAACTACAGTTATGCTTTTTTTTTCTTTGTCTCTATAAACTAGTTTGAATTTTATAGAAATTGTGTATATTAGTTTTCCCTTTTGTCAAATGAGGATAATATATATGTGGCAGAGTTAAATGAATTTCAGTTAATGTACTCAAAACAGGTTCTGAAGGGGAGAGGAATAGAGGGGTACCTGTCTCAGAAGAAGGGACAAATTAGAGAGAAGGGTCAACTAAATGTTCGGGGGAAATAATTATACCTTGGTTGTGTTTACTGAGTTGAAATGTTTTACTTGAGTAGTGATTGTGGCCTTTTCACGTTTATGTGATAGTTCACATTCAGCATTCATGAGCAAGCCTTCCACTTACCAGTCTGGATAGGATTCACCACCTGCTCGGGTTCAAAGCAAAAGTTTGTATCTTCTGGCCAGTTCTGATTGTTTTGATAGCCCTGATAGGCCATTTTCTCTTCAAGGAATTCAGTTGGAGACCCTTCAAATAGAAACAGGAAACAAAAATTATAAGGTACCACTGTTTTCCCCTCCACTAGAGTTGAGTTTCTACAAGTATTACAGCTACTACAATATAACACTATCATACCTGGATAGTGCCTCTGAAGAAAACCTTTTTAAAAAATTTTTAAGATAGAAGGAAATAATCAAAGAATTGGAAGCATTAAGGTTGCCATAAGATTAAACATACTGCAGAAGGACTTCTGGTGACGTACACATGAAAAAATTGATGAATCTTATCCACCAAAATATAAGTATAAAATTGGACAAACTGTCAAAGGTAATCACTTCAATTTTTTGGAATTGGAATTTTTTAAAAAGTCAGATCTAAATAAATGGAGAAATATACCATGTTCATCAATGCAAGACTCAGTATTGTTAAGATGGCTATACTCAAACTGACCAATACATTCAAGGCAATTATAATTTTTTAAAAAATCCAAGCAGAATTTTTGAAAGATATCAGCTCACTCCATAATTGGTATGGAAGTGCAAAAAACAGAATAGCTAAAATAATTTTGAAGATAATCAAGTTGGAAGAGTTAGAGTACTTGATTTCAAAAGTTACAATAAATGTACAGAAACCAAGTCATTGTGGTAAGGGCCAAACATTAGATAAATAGAACAGAACAGAATTCTGACAAAACCTACACAGTTGTGGTCAATTGATTTTTAATAAAGGTGCCTTTCAATGGGGGAAAGGATACTTTTTTCAACAAATGGTACAGAAACAATTGGACACTTAACTCACACTATATATAAAAACTAACTCCAAATAGATTAGACCTAAATGTAAGGAGTTAAAACTAAAAAAAACAAAAAAACAAAAAAACAAATAAACAAACAAAAAAAGTTGTAGTAGAAAACAGGAGAAAATTCTCTGTGACCTTGGATTAGACAAAGATTTCTTGGAAATGTCACCAAAACAATCCATAAAAGGAAAAAAATGATAAACTAAACATCATCAAAATGTGTAACTCTTGTTTTCCCAAGATACCATTAAGAAAATGAAATGAGAAGCCAGGCTGGGGGGAAATATTTACAAATCATCAATCTAAGAAAGGACCTATACACAGAAGAAACATTGGCACATACAGTGTTTGTTCAAAACAGTGTATAGGCATTTAATGTGGGGAAATAGCTATTTCACCCTTTTTGTTTAGTTTTATTTACACTTGCAATGAACAATGGGTACAGTTTTTGTTTCCTGTTTCCCTGATTTTAGTAATAAAAAGTTGAGACTTGTAATAAGGAAATCTCTTACACAACAATTATAAGACAAACAACTCAATTTTCATCAAAGAAAATATACAGATGGGTAATATACACATGAAAACCTCATCATCATGAATCATTAGGGAAATGCAAATTAAAATCACTATGAGATGCTACTACAGAA